AGGGGTCCCCTTGTACCGGGTGGCTGGAGCCAGGGTGCGCTTTACGGAGCCCGGCGAGACCTTAACACGCAGGATGAGTGCTTGGGGAGCAAATAAAACGGCAGAGCTGGAGGGCAGCCGTGGGGCCGCAGGGGATGGGGCAGATCCTGCCGCGGGCAGCCCGGCGGTGCTGGGAGCTCCCCCCGGAGCGGGGGGCACAGCCCTCGCCTGCACAAATGCAAGCAGTAAAGATATCGTAGAGTAAAATGATGCTCCTGTTTGGCTCATAAAGCATCCTCTCAAGCCTTTGATGCTAATTATTGTAGACTTAATGAAAGCACTCCCCGTGGTGGCCACTTGTACAAACAGTGGGGGGGAACAGCCCTTAAAACTGAACATACCTCAGGAGATTCCGTAGCAAATGCCTTCTTGTCACAAGGATACACCTTGCACAGAAGTGTGCATTTGCACGGGTGTAAGCAGGACACCGTGACCCCATCCCAGGCATTTCACCCCTCTCTGGCACTTTTGGACTTTGCAGGAGAAAGGCAGGCCTCAGCCCCTGGGCTGCAGAAACACAGATGAACACAGAGCCCCTTTGGACAGGTTTGCAGCGGATGTAGGATGCCGAGGAGGCAAAACCCAGAGGACTTTGGCCTTAAGAGGATGAAGTCTACAAGCGTCTTCGCATCCAGTGAAATGTCCCAAAGATGGTTCTGGGGATTAGCCCCATGGCACGACACACGAGGAGAGGGGCAGGGGGCCAACAAGGTACGGAGCACACATGGGCAGAGAGAGCTTTAAAACCTGCGACACTGCTAACTTACCCAGACCCAATGGGAAAGAAGGGTTGGGCGACCACGCAGGGCTGTCAGGGGCAAGGACCGCAAGGACTGGGAGGATCTAGGGCAGCGTGGCGTGGTTGGTCCTGTTGGCAGCCAGGGACACTTGTTCCCATGTTTTTGAGGTCATGAAGCCAGCCCCCAGGGAGGTGGCAGCGGAGGGAATCCAGGAGGACGGAGCTGTTTGAGCCGCAGGAGCCTGGCGCCGGTGCGGCTTTGCGAGGACCTCGTGCTCCCACCAGGATTCCTTGTCCTGCTTGGGCTCGGGGAGACACTTTGGTGGCATTCCTCCGGGAACATTGCTAAGCCTCAGATGCAAATTAATGGGCTCTCACGGACCGAGTGCAAGTCTGAGGGGATTAGAGGAAGCCTGGGAGAACGTGACCTTTAACAGCTCGCGTGCATTCCAGATGCACGAGCGGCCGAGGGAAGGCGGGCGGCTGGGAGAACAGCATGGTCCAACCTGGCTACGGAGTGCAGGGCTCACGAATCTCCCCCTGCCCCAAATGTTGATGAGATAACGGGGGCACTGGCAGTATCGGCACACCAGCAGCAATACGGGGGTTAAAATTCTGGGTGCAAAATAAGCCAGGCAGAAACAAGCGGCCCCTGCTTAAACAACTGGGAACGGCTCCTCCGAAAGCCGGGGCAGAGCAAACAAATAACCAGCGTAAATAGTTTACCAACGAGATAAAATGAAAGTTTGTTATAAGTTTAACATAATTAAGGTGAATTAGCCGTTACATAATGGTGAGACGCGCACATTTAACAACGCCCTTTGGGCTGACTTACGTGTGTGGCCTCTATGAGTAAGAGCTGCGGGGACGGCGTCTGCAGCGCCGGCGGGTGCAGGGAGCGGGGGGAGCGGGGGGAGATCACCCGCCCACGACCCG